TTTCGACCTTTCCTTTTCCTTAATTTCTACTAATGTCATGTACATGTTTACACATACATGTAACAATTTTATTTCGAAAATAAACTTAGAGTTGATTCCTGGTTTTCCTATGAAATTTTTGTTTTCTAAAATAATATTGAACTAGTATTTTTTCTTGGATTTAATGAGTAAATATGTGTCATATGTAAAGTATATACGTATAATCATGATATGTCATTACTAATATTTTACCTTGTCACGAAAGAAATGTTTTTTTTTATCATCTGTTCGTGAATCATACTTAACAAAAATAGTATATTTTCAATAATTTACTGGATAAACTAAAAGCACGTGTTCCATATTTTTAAATAATTATTAATTTAAAAAGATAATCACAAACTAAAAAAAACTGTCTAAATAACAGCATTAACAAACAAAAAGAAATATCTAGTGGAGATGATTTATTCTATATTATGATTTAAAATAGAAAAATAAATGAACATTTTAATTTTTAATTTTAAATATTTTGCTGTAAAACAAATGCTAATTGAAAAACATGGACAGAGAAAAATGAACAATGACATGATGCTAATAGGAAAAGAATATTCAATAAGATTTCATCATTTCATTTATAATTTAAGTGAGAAAGATTTGAATAACGATTCCATGAATAAAGTCAATACGTGCAAAATGAATGCATAGTATAGCTGAATATATATGTATTTACTATAGCTAGATATTCATTCAATATTAGTTTTTCATTATTGAAAAAGAGGAGAACGAAACAAAAATGATCAACTTGTTCATTTGAACCCGATTTATAAGCAACATAAATTGTGTTACAACTTTCTTGTCATTTATGAATTACAAAAGAAAACTGTGGAAATGAACGAGATTTTACCCATGTATTCAAATAAAAGCAGTTTTTGTTTAAAATCTTTACTAGACCATACAGAGGTATTTGAGAGTTGTGCATGTTTTTAGAAAAAGTTTTCATTGAATGTTTTAGCTCAAGTAGTTGCTTTTGAATTAAACAATTCTTTCGATATGATGATATTCATAAAAAGTGTTTTATAAGAAATGTTTTTGCCCATTCGAATAATGCGAATGATAGAATACTAATAATTGGAAAGGTACCAAGTAAACTACTCCTTGGTGGAATGTTTATACTAGTAGATGTATCAGATGAAAACCACTGTTGACAAAGATTTCCTTCAAACCATTTTTTTTTAAAATCATCAAGAACACCTGATACTCATATTGATAACATAACCACATCTAAATCTTTTTTATATAATCATGGGTTAGAAATAACACTGCCATGTGTACTGCAACTAAAATCTATCCTCACAAGAGTTCAGTTACAATAGACTTTGCTAATTACATATTCTAAAAGACCAATATCTGGCATTGCAGCATCAACAGAATTATCTAATAACTTGGTATATAACTCATTTTGTGATTTTAATGGATAACAAGCTCGACTATTGCAAGAAATGTGGCGTAAAGAAAAATTTATCAACGATGACTCAGCAAGAATATTAACATGACTAAAAAGCAATTTTCTATTTTTCATGTGATCAATTTCAGAAATGAAATCTTTTAATTTTGATATTGTTAAATAAGATGCTCAATCTATCGTGTACATTGCTACTAATACCAAACTAAAGTTTATTTTTCAATGATTGAGTTTCTTGTCGTTCTAATAGACACAACAAGGTAACAGCATATATGCTACCAATCAGAAGTGTCAACTATGTAGTAAGTGAAAATGGTTCTGGTCATGAAAAAAGATCAATATTTACCGAAGTTGCTTTTTGAATAATAATGCGTCAAGAATTATCAAATTTTCAATTAGAAAAATCGACTATTTCTCTTTGTACAGCAGTAGTAGTAACATCATCAACTACCAAATCACAAACACCAATTGCTATTACTTGGACTAATCAATTAGAAGTCTGAGTCGATGGTGCTAATATTACATGAGGAATAAATCCTATCTTATTTTGTAAAATAGCCGAGGATCTGCAGAATACCTATCAAGCAGTATTCAGAATTTTGTAGGCTTGTCCATACTAAACAAAATGTCGAATATAATCTTACAGATAGTTGTGGGTGTACGAGTAGAATTTTATAAGTAGTGACAGAAGTTAAACTCCGCATAGGCATACTGAAATTGCACACTCTAAACACGGTAGAAATTCTAATGATGAAAGTAAGAAAACTAACAGAATTTTAAAGGAATTCTGTTACGAATAACAGAAGATCAACTTCCAATACTCATGGTAGAATTGTATATCTCAAATAGAATATAAACAGAATTCTGTTACAAGTAACGGAAGACGAACTTCGAATACTCATACTAGAAAGGTATACTTCCACGAAGAAAGAAATTCTAATCAAGAATTCAAAGAAAAACAGCAAACTTCAAACAGAACTGTTTTATAGTCGTCAGAAGAAGATAACATTTTCTATATACGTTCAAATAAAGATTACAGAGTATAAACACACCAGAAGAGAATTTCTACCATGTTTTTGAGAACACAGAATTCTACAGAATTCTCTTAAGATTAGGAATAAAAACAGGCTGGGAGAGAATCCTAATATCCAATGAACACCAACGCTTATATATGTCGTTTTTGAGAACATAGAACTCTACAGAATTCTAAACAGAATATAAACAGACTAGGACAGAATTGTAGTATTGAATGATTACGAACACTCATATACGTTGTCTTTGACAAAATAGAAGTCTACAGAATTCTATCATGAATATAAACAGATCACGATGGAATTCTCATATTCCTGATCATCAACGGTTATAGACGTTGTCTCGGAGAGCATAGAATTTTACAGAATTCTAACCAGAATACAATCTGCTATTAACATCGTTTTCCCGTGTAAAAGCTTCCAAAGTATATCGTCTGATGTTTTGGTTATTCTCTTTTGTAATTATGGATAGTGAAACAAGGCGTTGATTGTGTTTCTTTTCTCAGAACAGAACTAAAAGATGATTGATATATACGTCAATGGCTGTGAGCAAAGAAGTATTTATTTTGATTTGTGGTAGCTCTGCTCTCGAATTTTCTCTTT